CGCGGCGCGGGGACAGCTCCAGAAGTGGTCGTGCAGCCTTGGCATCGGTGCGCGCGGCGCCCAGGTCCTGCGGGCAGCACAGAAGTCGCGCAAGCCGTCTCGGCGGGACAGGCCGGGATCCCCACCCTCGCCCCAGCGCCCGCGTACCTGCCGAGGGTCGCCCGCCCGCGGCCGGAGAGCCAGCGAGCGAGCAGAGGCGGGGCGCCAGCGAAGACCCTAGAAGAAGGAGGTAGAAACGGCACACCCGGCCGCGGTACCAGGCGGACGCTCTACTTATACGGCGGGCCAGTGCCCCCGCGCCACGTGATCTGGCCCGGCCTACCCGCCGCTCACGCGCACCGCCCAGGGGCGTGGCCCCGTCTGGCCCCGCCCTTCCCGCGCGCCCGTCCGCTCTGCGTCTGGTGAGGCGGTCACAGCCAATGGGAGGCGGGCGGCCGATATGACGTACATACACGCCACCGCGGCGCGCGCCGGCACGCGCCTGGCGGGAGCGCGCAGAGCCGCGCCGCGCCGGAGTGACCCAGGGCGGAACTACGGCGCTGGGCGGAATCGAATGCGCGGGTTGGCGCGGCGGGGCACGGGGCTGCAGGGCTGAAGGGCGCCGCGTTGGCGCCTTCGTCAGCTCCCTCGGCGTAGGCCGGGCTCTTGGCCAGGCCCCGCGCCCGCTGGCGACACCTTTGTGACATCAGGTCCCGCGCAGCGCGGCGGTGCACGTCATCGCGCGCTCGCCCCGCGCCACTCCGCAGCTGGGACTTGGGGCGGCGAGTCCTGCCCCGGACGCCTGCCCTCTGCAGCCGTGGGAAAGGGCCGCGCCCGCCCGCGTGGTCTCCGCGGGGCAGAGGCAGGGAGCCCCCGGCCGGCGGGGGACCCTGCGGGCTCAGAATGGCACCGGCTCAGGTTCCCGGCCCAGTGCCAGAGGAGAAAAGGAAAACCCAGAGGACAGTGACATCTTCCTGAGCTGTCAGTATTTCTCAGAGTTCATGGGGCGGGAGGGCGTGTGACTGGTCCCATTTCCTGAGTGTGACCCAGCAGAGAGAGGATGGACCTCTGTCCCTTGGCCCGTGTGCAGGTCTGGCAGGGCTGCAGCGCTCAACATTCCCGGAGCCCTGCCCGCTGCTAGGGGCTTGTGCCCAGGGTCAGAACTCTGTGACCCTAAGGAATGCTGTGGTCAGGGCCCACACACGCGCGCGCACACACACAGGTGTGCCTGGGCGCGATCACCCTATGTCTTGTCACGCCGACACTGGGAACAGCAGAACGTAAGCTGCCCAGCGTGCCAACTGGAAGGACACTGGTGGTCAGGCTCTGGCGGCGGGATGCTGCGTAACAGTGCCGCTGGAGCAGTGCTGTCTGCCCTTCGCAAGTCCCGCAGTCACTTTTTTGAGAGCCTGATCACATCTACATCGGAGCCTTGGCCTGGATTGGTTAGGAAACCCCCAAACGCAGGCAGCATTGCGATTGTGCATATGGTGCCAGAGGGGCATGGCCAGCCGCAGAAATGCAGGTTCCCACATCGCAGAGGTCAGCGTGCCTGCACATGGGCCAGAAGGTACAGGCAGGGTCCCCTTCACGGCCTCTGGCTTGGCCCTGCAGGCTCCCCCTACTTCTCTCAGCTGTAACACCCCATGTGTTCAGGTGCATGGCTCACGGACTTCATGGACATCCCTATCTCCAGTGTGGAAAGGGGTGTCTCATCTTCTCACTCATTGCTGCTAAGAACCATTTGCTTTGCTACTGTTCCTACCCAGGCAGCATCCATACAGCCCAGTCCAGCCCCTCCAGCTCTCCAGCTTTGCACTTCTGCAGGAGACCACAGCAGCCCTGGAGCCATTCCAGAGGCACAGGGACACTGGCTGCTCCAGGACAGACCAGGATGTCCAGCGGGAGTGTGGAGAGACGCCCATGTCTGGGTCTCTGAGTCCCTGGGAGGACTGGCTGGACTCCTAATCTTAGGTTAGTCCCTGGAGTTCAGCGTCTGGAGAAACGTGTTCAGGACAGTTCCCTTTTGTCCTGGATCATGCCACTCTATGTAATGATTATAGGTGTGCTACTAACCTGGAAATGCTTACTTTGCAATGGCCAAAGAACTTGGTTGCCCTCCTCCTGGGTCACCTGTAAGCAGGCTAGTGGGACAGCACCCCGACCCCCACAGCTCCCTAGATATGGAGCGGTCAGGGGCCCGAGGGCTGTGAGTCGTCCTGCAGTGGACAAGCCCCTTGCCTCTCCCCCTTATTCCTGCCATTATCCCTGCTACCCCTTTGATAAGCCCTTAGAGTAACTATTCTTAAAATAGACCTGGTAACAGTTTGCCAAAAATGTGTACATACTTCAGGAAAAGATGTACTTGTTTAAATATGTTAATACTAAATTTATTGAAACTCCACAAGATTAATACAAGTTACCTTTGGCCTCTACAATTACAAAAGCTGTTCACAGCTGTGGCCATGAGCTTCCAGACGTTTGTTAGTACAGCAAATGAGTACAGCTTGGGTGACCCTAGGCACTGGGCTTGCTGCACACGCACTTTCAATTTCTCTAAGGGCCACAGTGTGGTGGGTTTTCTGAGATGCATGACATCCTCCACGGTCCCCAGATGAAGGCCACACCATCTGTTGGAAAAAAAAAAAAACAAAACCCAACACACACACACACATTTTTTCTTTTCCTTATGTGTGTATGTTTTTTTTCATGGACTTTGTATTTACTTGTTTACCATAAAAGTGTCACATGTTAATAAATCACTTGGGAACTGTGGAAGCCATATTTTGAAAAACCTGTAGTCCCGCCTCCTAGAGGTAGCTATTTGGAGTACATGTTTCCAGATATTTCCCAGTGCATAAATGGACTTGTTCTGTTTTTTCTATTTTTTCCCATAATTTTATTGATAAATAGAAATTTGACAGTTTCAAATCAAATTGGTAGGACAGTTTCAAGAATTAACACATTGCATACACTTGTTCTGCTTTTTAAACAGAATCCTACCTCATATGTAATAGAGCTGGCACGTAAGGGATCGCAGGCACCTCCTGAGCCCGAGTGCCATCGTCTGGTGGCTTCAGTGGTGCCTAAGCCACCTGCTGTGCAGTTTGTCCCCCCAGGCACACGCCCATCACCACTGTCATGGTGACCCAGCCCTCCACAGCCACTCCCTGGCCACCACTAACCTGCTTCCTGGCTCTTCAGCGTCTTGCTCTGGACCTCGCTGTGCACGGCGTCCTAGACAGTGTGTCTTCTGTGACCGTCTCTGAACAGTGTTCTCCAGATCGCGCCAGGTTGTGGTGTGTGTTCTGCCCTACGTGTCCCTTTCTTATGAGTGAATAATGTTCTGTGTGGACATACCACATTTTGCCTGTGCGTTTGCCAGATGGACATTTGAGCTGGTTTCACGTTTTTACTGTTATGAATAAAGTGAGCACAAGTTGTGTGTGTGCTGTCCCCTCTTCTGGGTGGGGTGACAGGGTATGGAGTCCCTGGGTCCTATGGAAACCCAGTGTGTGGTCACTTGAGGTGTCTTTTCTCCAAAGCACGGTTCCAGGACCTTGCCAATACTTGGCGCTATTCAACTTGGATTCTGCCCATGCCAGGAGGTGGGACAGGGCCATCAGGGTTCACAGCTGTGTGGCACCTGCTACGTTGTGAGTCTCAGCTGAGGCTGATAGAAGCTGACCCACAGGAGTTGGGGGCAGAGGAGACCGACCACGCAGGACGGGCTGAGGGGTCTGCAGGCTGCCTGGCACCCGGGCTGCCAGTCCTTGTCACCTCTTATAAGGACCTCGGGGCAAAGAAGACATAAAAGCACCTGTAAGCTGTGCATCACCTCTGTAACTTGTCATCCCTTTGCTCATGGTGATCCTGGGACTTGGCCCTGGAGAAACTGGACAGCAGGGGCTCATGGGCAGAACGGGAGACTCAGGAAGAGGGTGCAGGTGGGAGCAGACGCCCAGCCTGGAACAAGAGGGGAGGCAAGAAGGCAGGCAGGGAGATCATAGCTCAAAGTGGTGGAAGGTGGTGGATCTCGAGGGAATGGTGGGCTGAGGGTGGGGGAGGAGGAATCCACGTCCCCTGGACGGCCTGGGGGGGACACGACAGGTTGCTTAGGACAGCCGGGGAGAAGGGAGGAGAGTGGATGGAAACCCTGGCACAGTGCCTGGAAGAAGCCGTTTCTGGTGGCCCTGGAGATGACACAGTGGTGTGAGGTCAGGGCACATCAGCGAGTCCTGGGAGAGAAGCCACCCTGAGCAGCAGAAACAGGAGGACACCTCCAAGCGATTGGCTGTGACAGCAGGGGAGGTAGCTGTGCTCGGCCACTGGGGAGGCTGTGGGGAGGGGTTCTGCTTGCAAGGTGGGCAAGGTGGGCAAGGTGGGCACGACTTGGAGTGCCGGCGGGAGATTTGGGAGAGAGGAAGAGGAGCAGAGAAGGGCAGGCACTGTGGCGGAGCCCCGGGAGGGGACGGGGTGCTGGGCTCCGTTCTTCTTGGGACGGGGGTCGGGGATAGCAGGCCCGGTGGGGCAAGCAACTGCAGGTCTCTGGGGCCAGGCTTCTGCAAGGTGGCCAGGCTGGCCTTCTGTACCACTCTGGCTGACTGGAGTGGCTGTGACACATGGCTGGGGGTGACACTGGGGATGTGGGCCATGGGCTCTGAGCCCCCAAGGCCCTGGGTATGGTCCAATCGCAAAACTTAGTCAATCAACCTCACATGGTGTTGGTCGCCATTCTGGGATTGGGTAACACTCCGTTCCCCACAACAGAACAGTTGCTGTGGGGGTTGAGCAGGGTCAGCTGGTGTCAGAGGCAAAAGTGCTGGGAAAGTGGAAAGGAGAACATCATTGGAGTGGCTTTCCTCGGACGGGGCCAGGGAGGGAGGGCAGTAAGGAGGTAGCCGGCCGTCTGGCTCCCTCAGATGGCTTTAGGGTACTTTGGGTGAGGATTAAGGGATGTACAGATTAGGGCAGGGAACTTTGCAAATCTGGCCAGTTCGGAGACTTGGCTGTGGTCTCGTGACTTCTAGGAAGGTCTGACAGGAAGTGGGTTTCCCTTTGGCAGCGGAGTCCCCTGTGAGTGCCTGTCCAGCTGGTGGGGCCCAGGGCGAGGCCTGGTGCAGAACAGCTGTGGCTGTGGTTTTCCTGTGTGACAACTGTGTTCCAGGGAGGAGGACCACGCCGAGCACCGCAGGCAGTGGTCAAGTGCACCAAGTTGCAAGGCCAGGTGCTGGGGCTGGGCGCGTGCCCCAGGAGGACTGGGAGCAGGCAGGCCTGGGCAAGCTGCAGGGGCCAGAGCTTGGCTGCAGGCCTGGGAAGCAGGCTGGGCAGGGTGCCAGGTGCCAGGTGCCCGAGCCCTGGGGATGAAGGTGGCCACGGGTGTCCTGGTCAGGTGCCTGCCTTGCTGCTGGGACCGAACACCTGCACCCTGCGGCTGAAAGGAAGAGGTTTATTTCAGTTCCCAGCTCAGAAGTTTCCTCTGTGGTTGGTGGCTCAGGCATAGAGGTGGTGTGGTGGCAGGCAGACCACAGAGGGCAGACCACGGAGGGCAGACCACTGAGGGCGGGCCTTCTGGAGCCTTCAGGGTTGCAAACAGCCTGCTGAGTCTCGAAGGATACCCAGGCAAGGTCTTCCTCACGCTTAGCTGAGGACGACAAACAAGGGACTTCCCTCTGAGACATCCAAAGGCAGAACCCAGGGAGGGCTTCAGGGGAGATCAGGGCCCTGTCCTCGGGAGGGGTTTCCTGGCTTTCCCCAGGATGGCCGGCCACAAGCACCCAGCACGAGCGTGGTGCCCTCGGGTCTCGGCGCCCTGGGTGGCTGTCACCAGATGCAGCCCATGACCTTGACACAGAGTTGTGAGCCCCAAGAAACCATCTTTCTCTGCAGCCCACCAGTCCATGTGTTATGTTACTAGCAACTGAAAATGGCTGGTGACACACAAAGAGCTAACAGACAAAAGGCCTGCCATTACATGCACACACGCTTAGCAAGAGCAGCCACCCAAAGAAGGTGGGAGGGGGGACAAGAAACAACAGAAAGCTCAAGGGTCAAAGGAAACAAATACCAAGAGGCTGATGGGAACCATGCCTACAGTCACGGCCAGGGAGGCGGGGTGAAGCCTCTAAGGAAAGGTGGAGACAGGCAGAGCATACCAAAGTGTGGAGCGGGGTGTGCACGCCTGTGTTCCCAGTGCTCGGGACGCTGAGGCAGGAGGATCTCAAGAGGTCAAAGCCCTCCTGGACTGCAGAGTAAATTTAAGGTCAGCCTGAGCTACATAGCAAGATTCTATCTCAAAAAACTAAACTAGGGCCGGCCTGATAGCTCAGTGGACTAAAGCACCTACTTAAGCACAGCGCTGCGGCTGGGGTTTGATCCTCAGTGTGCGGTGCCGGGCCCTGCCCACGGGGCACGCTGAGCTGGTAATGGAGACTGGGTATGGTGGCATATGCCTGTAATTCTAGCACTTGGGAGGCTGAAAACAGGAGAATCACTAGGAGTTTGATCTATGTAGTGAGACCCTGTAGACCCTGTGTACCCTGTCGTAAATACAAAAAAA